GGCGCGCCGCCCTGCGCCCCGGAAATCATTTTGCTGACACAGCAAATAATTTGTTGACACTAGATTGCGCGGCAGGTGGGCGGAGACAAACCACTTTTTTGGGACCACCTCCCCCCCCCCCTTCCTTCCTCTCTTTTTCTATCCAGTAAATAATTTTGGTGATCCAGCAAATACTTTTGCTGATTCAGCAAATAATTTTGCTGACACAGCAAATAATATGTTGGCACTAGGTAGAGCAACAGGTGGGCGGAGACGAACAACTCTTTTGGACCACTTATCCTTCCTCCTTCCTTTCTTTTCTATTCTTTTCCCATATAAGGTTAAAAATGTTTAATATTTGCTTAATGTCAGTTTAAGTAGGTGTTGTACAAGCAGTGATACTGGAAGTATAATCTGCTAAAAACCTCCACACTTTGATGTCTTTTCGCCTTCCGCGCCTGCCTAGAATGGCTCGTGGCCTCGACCGACCGCCGGCATATCGCCTCCATGGCCTAGTCCCGACCAACCCCTACCCAGGCCCGAAAAGTCCTCGCGAATGCTCTAATTTTTTGAGAGGGGAGAGTTAAGGACGCGCCCTCGGTTGTCGCGAAGTTGCCGGGGCCTCACCCCGGCGACCCGGCACCGGGGCGCGGCTGGCAGTCTCCCCGCGGTGCTTCGACCGCCCCAAGAAGACCGCAAACAAGATCTCTCAACAGCGAGAAGGGGCGGCGGGCCCGCGCGGCGCCAGCACGCCCTCCCTCGCTGCGGCGTGGCGGGGGGCCACTGTCTGGTTGCTGACCAGCTGCGCTCCGCCGGCAACCGGAGAAATTCAAATTTTTGAGAGAAACAAGGTCGCAAGCAAGAGAGGAGAGAAGTGAGAGGGGAGAGGGAGAGCGAGTGAGAAGAGAGCGGAAGATAGAGGGGAAGAAAACAGAAAAAGGGCGGCAAGATTTAAAAGGCCACACCGGAAAGTTTTTAAATGTTTCACTCTTTTATTTCAATGACTAACAGCAATTACGACTGTTGCAGGCCCTGGAGAAAACAGAATGAACTTCAAGATCAAAATAATTTAATGATTGTACTCTGTAAACTTTTCAACACCAATTTTGTTAAATTTTGTTGTTATTTTCTTGTTACATTCTTCAAATTTAAATTTATTGTTATCCTCCATTTGAATTATTGTTACCAACACTTAAAAATTTTATTGTCAGAGACCACCTGTACAAATTGTTGAATAAATGTGTTTGAAAAAAAAAAAAAAAGTCGGTAGAGCACCTGCCCAGAGCGTCGCAGGTCGACGGTTCGACTCCAGGCTCGGCAACATTTTTCGCTTTCCGCTTAGTGTTAGTGTAAGGCCTCAGGGCCGACCTGAAGTTCAAGTATAATTGGAACACGGCTTATCTCCGTTGGCTGGGTAGCTCTGGTGGGAGGGTCATTGTCACTATCGAGTTGACTCGGCGCTTGGGGTTGTGGGTTCGAATCCCGCGTACCACTGATGGTAAGGCCTCTGAATCTGGGTTTCAGTCTTGCTCACCTTGCGACACCTGTAAGTCTAACAACCAAAGTCCTCTTCAACCCGTTTAAGCAGTAGCTTTCATTAGCTGCGCGGGGCCCGTCGCAGATACGGGTGAGGCACCCTTTTTTTTTCTTCCCCGCTTTCTTTTTTTATAAAAATTGATCTCGAATGAAGACAGTCGGCTCTCACCAATCCCCTTTCGTATGGCCCGAGGAAAAGGATATTTTGACAGAGATTCGAAGCACGAAACTTGGCGCCACTACTTAGTGCCCCACTGAACGCGCGCGGGTCCGGCGTCACGGCGAAGGCTGCCTGCCGAGTCCTTACTCTTCTTTAGACACATTGATTTTGAAAACGAAACAAGCGAGTGAAAGGGCGATCTGTCCCACCCGTGCTCGGCATGATGTCGTTTATAAACGACATTCAGCAATCCTGAACCGTACATGCTAGCACACCCCACGATGGCTCAAAATGCTTCTTAGACACTCCCTTGGTTGGCACAACTCAAATATTCAACTTTTGTCAATTTCGCCAGGTTTAATGCCTTAAAGGGTTAAGCTGACTCTGGCCGCCGGCATTGTGGCCACAAACAGGGACGTTCGGCTTAAACCCCTGGGGGCGTCAGGTATCATATATTGCCCAAAAAAGGATCTTCTACAGTCGGGTCGGATTGAATTGCCCGCTGGATTTGTGGCCACATTTTTACGGCCGCAAACAGGGGCGTACTCTAGTTTTGCGATATTAAGGGTAAAGAGGCCACAAAAATAAACAACCACCAAAAAGTTTCACAAAAGTTTAAATTAACATTTTATTTACAAAAAGCTTAAGTAACCCTATATAAAATATCTGCTTACAAAACACATTTCATTACATGTACTTAAGAATTTACATTCAGAGGAGCGTTCGAATACGAACGGCCTCGTGCGATTATTTGACGTTGATCAGAATGTAACAATTTACATCGTCCAATATGGACTGACGAATTAACACTTTCGATGCGTTGAACACCAAAAACACCCACGAGGACGAAGACGGTGCCAAGTTTAAATCTTGGCGGCAACGCCGGCGTAGCCCTTGACGCCCAGGCCAGTCACTCTGAAGAGCGCGCCGGCGTCGGGGTACTTCTCTCGGACCTCCTTGGTGGCGCGCATGGCCGCGGTCGTCACGTACAGCTCGTCCAGCTTGTCGCCGCCGAACGCCACGGACGTCACCTCGGGCGCGGGGATGTCCAGCGTGCTCATGAGGGTGCCGGTGGCCGGGTCGATGCGAAGCACCTGCCGGGATGCTCATGGTCAATCCCGCTGCCGACTAAACGAAAAGGGACGACCTCTCTCTAAATTTTGGGTCCGTTACTTTACCTTAGCGCCGTCGTAAACGGCGACCCACAATTTTCCCTCCGTGTCGATTGTCATGCCGTCTGGGAAACCGTGGATACCGTTGGCTTCGAGACTGAACAGAGTCTTGCGGTCGGCTGAAAAACGAAGGGCATCTCTCTTAAAGCTATCCCTGCAAACACCTTTGCTTTACCCACATCTTTTTTAGCACGCGTAAGGCTCCGCGCGGTTTTTCGACGCATGTAACGGATCTTTCTGTGTTTCTTTCACTGCACTCAAGTGATGCGGGACTGCATACTCGCTGCGGCTGCAGAAGCCAAATGGCGCCGTATGGGCAGACAAGCCCACAACACTGGAGTGCGTGCAAAAGAAACGCCCGGTATATAGGTATACTCACAGATCTGGCCCGAGGTAACGTCCACGCTCATCACATCCACGCTCTTCTTGAGCGAGTCCACGTAGTACATGGTCTTGCCATCGGGGGTCCAGGCGAGGCCGTTGGACAGACCGACGTTGGTCTGACGGACGTGCGCCTTGCGGTCCTGGCTCACGTAGAACAGCACGCCGTCCTCCGCACCCACTTCGAGACGCGACATGGTCCCTGTGGCGAAAAGAGACAAGGGTATAATGAACGCTGCAAACAACGAAAAACTTGGATTGCATCCTGTTTCAAAGTCGGTATTATTTGTTAAGGGGGTTTATGAATTATCATATTTTTTTTGGCAAAGGTAAAAAAAGAAATAATAACTTGACATATGTAGTTATTGTGTGGGCCATAATTTGTTTCTATAAGTATCTAGGTAGACAAAATATAACGGAAAAGGAGCGAGAGGAGAGGCCATCAATTGAAGGAGCTTAGGAAAAAACCATTTTTTTCTGGATGAGACCAGCTATGCGTTCAAAGAAAAATAAAAAATTAAAAGTAACCCGCTTGTTGGTCTAAACACCATCAACAACAACATCAACAAACCCCTTGCCACCTTATCATACATATTGGAATATCTATGCAATGGAAACATAATCAGGTCGTATTATGAGACTTACGGGAGGTGACCTCTCGCTTCGGCCTCTGTCCGCGGAGAGGACGATCACTCCGTCCTCTACCATGAGTGATACCGTCTGTACAGTACGTCCCCCCCCCCCTCCCTAACTCAGCGTTTCTGGGGTCAACGGGGTTCGATAAAAAAAGAGGGGGGGAGAGAGACAGGAGATATGATATACAGAAAGAGAGAGACACAGAGTGCCAAGCCGCAGACCCAGACCGAGGCGCCATTTAGCTGGTGCGCGGTTAGTCAAGTCAAGTTGGAGGTGTTTGGCCGCTCGTTGGGGTCCCACGGGGATGAGGGCAAAGTATGAGCCTGTCGTCGAGTAGGGTCCACACAGGAAGGTCACGCAAATCACGCAAATAATCCGGGTGACAACACCTCGATGATCTGATCACCACTTGATCGCGTTATCGCCGAACCTTGCCCGCCATCTCTAGGGCACTTGTCGCCTCGAGTGCTCGCTCGCTCCGCCGGCCTCCTCCCGCTCCCCTCCCTCCCCATCAACGCCCTCCACCTCACCTGCCCAGATGCGGCCGTTGGGGTCAGCCTTGCCGTCGTTGATCCTGAGCAGGTCCACCTTGACGTCCTTCTGCACCTCCAAGAGGTTCTCGACGATCTCCGGAGTCTCGCTTCGCCCGTCCCAGGTGACGAGGACGATGCGGCGCTTGAGGCCGGCAACGAACACGTTGGGGCGGCCGTCCACGGGCACCGCGAATCCCACCAGGTCATCTGCAAGCGATAAAGTCTCACTCTCTCCTTTGCGCCGGGGGAGCCTGCCCTGTGGGAAGGCTGAAGGCTCTGCTTTCGATTTTGATTGATCGAGGGGTTGGCAGTCGGTAAGAGGTCCACTCGAACCGACTCATACCCCCCCCCCCCCCCCCCCC